ATTACACAAAAACGCTGAGGAGCTTTTCCAGTTCTTTAATTACCTTTAAATTATACACATCTATATATATACATGTATATGTGTATATATACATATATATATATATAAAATGGAATTAGACTGATGAAACAAGTAAAGGCAAATTAATAATTTAAACTTATGCTTCCTGTAAATAGCTTTGCTGCTGTAATAATTTTTTACAACCCAAATACCTAGACACCTATAGCTTAAGGTCTGATCCTGGACATGCAAGCCTGAATGCCTTTAATAAAAGCACTAAGACAACAGGAGGTGAGGCTGATCTTTGCTGTCATTTCTATCACCTGCTGGTGCAACAGACCACGATCAGTAGAGCAAAACATGATGTGCAGATGTCAAAGGAGCATCTCAGTTACAAGAAGAGAAAGCACAATGGATCATAGCACTACCTAAACTGTCCTAAATGGCAAAAAAACTATGAAAAAATTATAAGTGGAAAAGATAAAGGCAAGAAAATGGAAAGAATTAACATGTAAAATCATTGAAAAAAAAGAAAAATGCAGAAAGCTGGGCCAAAAGAAGGAAATCTAAAGGAAAGGGGAAAAGCATAAAACTTGGGAAGATAAGAATTAGTGTAAGAGGTCAGATCAATAGTGCATTTAATCTCTTCTATTTTTTCTTTTGGCTAGTCCAGCAAGTCTGTGAAGCTTCTTTCTCTCTGTTGGTGTTGGCCTGTTTTATAGAAAGGGAAGTGGGCTCATTATAATGCAGAACAAGTTGATCAATTATTTCCTTTCCTTTTTTACTGATTAATTGATTTACTTTTTTGTCTGTGTGTGTGTTTTGGGTTTGTTTGGTTCAATAGGGCAGTATTAGAAAGTTTTCTGTCCATTCCATGTGGACACATTTTTTTGGTGTTTGCAGAGGTCTCGAGAGGCAAAGGGGTGCATTCTTGTATCTCAAAGGTAAAGAAATGATGCATAGTACAAATGTCTCATATCCAGAGAAAGCTAAAATTTTAAATGTTGATCCTTCACAAACCAAACTTTGTGTTCTCATCTCTGCCTTTTCTTGTTGCATTTCTAAAACCTGAAAAAATGGAGTAATTTCTAATGGCTCTGGCTCCCCTCAGGTAATTAACTTAGCAATTACTGCAGTGTCTTGGTCAACTTTGCTTATGTTGCAGAGCAGCTACATACAGAAGGAATGCTCTCATCTCTGAAGGGTACGCTGCCTCTTTGAGTAATTGGTCAGCAAGTGGCACCATGAACAGTTTAGGGAGATACACAAAGTGAGGACTGAGAAGAGTTGTCTTCTCTCAAGGGTCACAGAGTCCTTCAAAAATCTTGTCTTCAGAGGAAAATACAATTCTCTAATTGCACTGATATGCTTAGAGCAGTGTTTTCTTGTCGTGGGCATTTAAGTGGCTAGGGAATACTTTAATCTCGTTTTTTCATTCACCAAATGATTTCTTCATTTATAATTGTGACTTTTTCTAAAGAGTGGAACCGGTGTCCCCCTAAGGTACACAGAGTTTTTCTGGGATGATGGGGACAACACATCTTTAAATTCAATGCTCTGTCTTTTTTATCCAAAGAAGTTAAACTAGAATGATTTTTTTAATGCAGACAAACTACCAGAGGAAGGGAATATGGTCAAGCAGCCTGACCAAAACCATGAAATACACCACTGGCTTCAGCAAAGAAAATAGTCACAGGAGAGATAAAATGCACCTTAAGATATTTTTACCAACTTTGTTCTTGGTATTGGAATAAAACCAAAGAAGAAAAAGACAGAAACAAAGCAACTGGGCCAGAGGAAATGAACTGAAAGGAATACTGTGAAAAGTTGGGAGGTAGAAACAACACAGTCTATGAAATACTGTTTGTTCTGACATGACTCAACAAATGCTGAGTTTGAGAGAGATGGCAGGAGGTTTTAACACTAATGGAGGGACAGCAAATTGGGGCAAGTAGACCTGGTAGTACAGATATGACCTCATCTGTCCCTTTAAGACACTACCATGTATTTCTACATGGCAGAAAAATATGTGTAAGGGAAGTAATTCAACCATTAACAATTTAATTAGTTTGACCTTAACAGCAAACAGGACCTCAGAACAATGAAGGAAAATTGTTGAAGAGCAGACACAAAGTACTAGAAAGAGAGATAAAATGCAGTAGATATTTACCAAAGACTGTCAGACTAGCTTAATATCAGCTATATAATAAAAATAAATTTATAAGTCCAGGGAAATATGATATATCCATTGCCTGCAGCTCAGGGTGAAAATAGAAAATACATGAAAAAGGCCAGTGAACTGTCTCCTGTGTAATGTCTGAGTCTTTAATATTTCCACTAATTTTACCTCATAAAGTACTTGTGACTATCGAATTAATTAAATTTTCACGTGGTATATTAAGTAACACTGAAGGGAGGAGAATGGATATTTAGAAAGTCTTAAGAGAGAAGGCTGGAAAAAGTATGATAACATTTAATACTGAATGCATAATCTAGATTTTTAAGGCCCAGTATGAAGACTTGTTGATATAAAGCTTCTACTTGTTAACTGCAAGTGACAATGAGGGACACTGACTGCTAAATACTGTCTATCACAACAGATTATTAACCAGCACTGCAGCACAGGTGGGAGGAATGTTATTTTGATCCAAAGTCTGAAGAACAAAGCATTGTTATCTGGAAAACAAAAATACTAAAGGCAGCCAAAGATTTTATCTGGAATAAAATCCTGGCTGGTTGGACTCAAGGAATATGAATTTGAATACGAACCCGTGTAGAGATGAACTGCTAGCATTATCAGGTTACAAGATCAAATTATAATTGTAATCTGGAGGTTATACACTTAGAGAAGAATTTGAAAAAATATACTCAAATGATAGTTGTAAGGATATGGTGTTATTAACATTTTAAAATGAACATCAAAAAAGACAAAATGTTATTTGAAGCTAAAGAACAACAGCAGGAGAAGCATAAGGCCATACAATAAACATAGAGAATTAGGAGCGTGTTTTTCATACCGGAAAAGCAGGGTGCAAAACTGTTTTGCAGTCAGGAGATCTGAAACCAATCTTTTTTAAAAATTAAACTCAGCCTGCAGGAGATTACATGATGTAAAGAAGGGGGAATATAGGATAGTTTCTTTCACTGCCTCAGGAAATCTCTTTCATTTCTATATAAGTAATTAGCTACACAACATTCACCCACACCTTTTGTAATTCCAAGACATTCCCAGGCATGCAATCCAGGAGAAGATTAGCTACACATCTCTTGGATTTCAGATGAGGAAAGGGATACCAGACTTCTTAATATGATAAAAAATACCTTTTGTATGAAGCTACAACATGTGTTCCACAGTGTTCCCTGATCTCCAGCCCATTTCCTGGTGTAGAACACTATTTTTATGCAGCTTTGGGGAGGGAGGAATCCCAGCCCTGATGGAATTCCACAATGCAGAGAGGAATAACAAAAATTACATGTGAAAATACCAAGTCTCAAGCAGCTTTATTCTCTCTGATTTGTGGTCTGTGTATTTCAGAGTCTGAACCAGATGATGTACAAAGCTCATGGTAGAGCCCAAATTTAAGGCTTTATCCAGCTTTCCTTGTAGGAATAAACTCTTGAGGTACAGGTTAGTTTCCATGGACAGGGAAAAAGGTCCATCTTGAAACTTCTGTCAGTTTTGAACTATTTGGAACTTGCACTGTACACATGCCGAAGAGTTGCTAATATGTGCATGTATGACTTGTGAATTGCACCGAACTGCTGACTAGTCCACTAAGTAACCCTCCAAAAGAGATGAAGTTCAGAGACAAGAAGCTGCATTATGCAAGAAAAGGCAAAATATATGTTTATTAGAGATTGATGTCTAATTTGAAATTTGCTCTGGGGATCAAATGTTCCTCGTTTCCCAACAGTAGTATGGGTTCATTTTCATCTAACACATTCACTTGACCTTCATCCTGAGAGTTTGCTCAGAGGCAAGGCAGATCCTTGTTATTCCATGTTTGACCTTGACAATCCCAGTGCCTGTTTTAATAAGGGCGAGGTAGCTTTAACTTCTGTGACTCTCCTGTGAACTTTTAAATGCTCAGCCTTCCCCAGTAACCTGCTCTACCTTGGTAATTCATGTTTACACAAACACTCAAATAACAAAATTTGCCAGCTGTTGAGACAAAGAATCAAACTTTAAAGAGAGAGGGAGTAGGGGGAACAAAAATTCTGCATTTCCTAATTTTGCAGAATTTATTTAAACCAGTCCCAAGAAACATAGTAGTGAAAGCAGGAAAATAAATCCCTGTTCATTCTGCCTGTCCTAACTGCATAAACCCCTTGTTTTTTCTTATAGATGATGACTCTCAATGACTGAAGCTGGGACTTTAAAAAACAGCTGCATTGTGCTGCAGACTCAAATCCTGCCACAGCTATAAGCTCTGAGATTCAAACATGAACCAAACAGGATCATGCAGGAGGCTAGTATAATATTTAGTGTGAATTAAAGGTATGAGGAAAGGTACATTTCTCTTGGGGTAAGTTACTTTTTTTTTTTCCTGGTTTAAATTGTGAAATTATGATCTTAAATGTGCTGAGCCTTTTTAAATAATGCACAGCAATAAATTTCTGTACTGTGAAGAACTATGTATGGCAGATCTCTTAAAATCAGATCTATTTCACAATAAACTGAAGTATTTCAACCCACTGCAGTTGCTTATCACTTTAGGATGCATGCTTTTCCCCTTTGTCTTAAATCATGCTGTACTTTACTCACTAATATTTGCAAGGTTGTGACTAAGTGCTATTAAACAGTGCAGCTTTCATTTTTTTACTTTCCTTAGGAGTAATAATAATAAAACAGAACCAGAAAAGGTTTGGTCACCAGCAATAATAATACTTAAAAACAGTGTGGCAGCATAAAAAAATAATAAATTACAGATCATTAAGCACATTATTCTGTCTCCCTCAACAACATAAAGATATTGGTATTTTCTTGTGTATTTCCTTACCTTGAATGTGAACAATTCTTTCATGCTCCAGACTGGAGTTGTCAGGGTGAGGTTCAGCCCAGCAGACAGAAAGCAGCACCAGTAAAAGTAGACTCTTCATCTTTATAGCCAAAAGAATCTTCTTCACTGTAAGGGCATCACATAAGGAGAGGCTTGTGAATTTTTGGAAACCTTTACAGTGTTGCACTGCACAACTTGTTAGAGCAGTGATCTTGTGAGGGTTTGTAACGTGTTTAACCCACTCACCTGAGAAAGTTAGAAAATCTGCTAATTTTCTAGGCATGAAGGTTGGACCTTTTTATTGTGGACTTTAATTAAATGAAACTGGCAATCCATATTTAACTCTGCCTGTGCAGAAATACAGCATGAAAAAATGAAAATGCACAGACAAATATTCCTAAACCAAACTCCTTGCAAGACCATATCTGAGCAGTATTTGTGTTTCAAAACAGGTTCTGGTGTACTTTTGCTTTTCGAGACATACTTGAGACCTCATCTGAACATACAATTAAATTAATCAAAGCTGTATTACTGTATCTATATCCACTGCCTGATGCAATCTGCTGGTGATAGATTTTCAAGATTAAAACAACCTTCTTGTAGGATTTGGCATTTCAATCAAGGCTGCAATTTAACTTAACAGTCAGGGTGCCAAGGTTGCTTGAGCTAAGAAGTAAAGATGACAAAACACATATTAGGCTGACTAGGAAGATCCATTTTATTTCAGATCCACTTACCATCTTAAAAGATGCCTAAATTACACAATGAAATGTTTGAAACCATGCACAAAGTAGGTTAGAGTTGTATATGCTGACACTGCAGCTACCCTGATTGATTTCTCATTCATTTCTACCTAGAATGCTGACGCACTAACTTAGAGTGCCAGGTAGGGGCTCTGCAGTCAACAGAGCTCAGCGCTGCAGGGAAAATCTCTGCCAGCCTCTGAGAAGTAATTAGGTAAATGAAGACCTGAAATAGAAAAGGAGGTATAAAATACAAGAGGTTGGTTTTATGTAGAGGGTTTGGACTGCTGTGTGTTTTATAGCTATACATTTTATTACTTCTTTATTTATTTCTTGGAATAAAAGAGAGCTATTTCCCAACTTTGCCTTTCAAGAGATTAGGGGTTCCCCCCCCTAGTCATCAGATAATGGCAGCCTTATTAATATACTTTCTAATGCAGAGATTATTTTTCCCTCCCATTTTCTCTATTAGATCTAGAAACACATAAAATTTGCAGTGTACTCAGCCAAAACCTGGTTCAAGGTATGAGTTTCACAAACAGTCCCTATCCCCAGATAGACACAAGCAGTGAATTGTTTCAAGTCTAGATCTAAATACTGTAATCTGAATCAACCCCTACTACAGTCTGCAATGCAGAAATGTCATCGCCATTTTTTCATATTAGAACATGCATGTTACTTACCTGCCCTTCCATTTCTTCAAAGCTGGTTTGGGAGGGAGATCAAAGCCAACTTAGCATCCCCTAATCGTTACTGTAGAGTGTCTGGAGGTAGCACAAGTGCTGTCTGAACACTGTTTTCCAGGTGGTCCACGCTCAGTAAACTAAGGCCACTCCCTCTTTCCTGGAAAGCTTGGGAGGCTGGTGACCTCCATTCTGGAGAGCAAGGACACGTGTGGCTCCCTCTAGAGCACATCAGACCAAGTATGGGCTGTCTGGAGGGTCACACAAGGGCAGCTGGGTGTTCCTCCTGCACTAGGGGACTGCTGGCCTGACTGACTGAGAGGGTAGGACACGTCAGCATAAAGACACACTGCTCAGTCCCTCACAAACTCCAGACCAGCCACACCATGTATTTCCTTCAAGAATGAAAAACACTTTGGGTTTGGAGTCTATTTTTTTTTTGCTGTTGACTACTATCTATCTAATTTATCTATCTAATTCTTTTTCTCCTGGGACCAGTGAGTAGGGGCAAAGCCCCCAGGTGCTCTGCAGACCTGCCCTGGGAGACCCTTAACTGTTCATTAACTCTTGGCTTCTACCTCTCACCACAACCTGCTCTTTTCTGTGGTAGTAGTGAAAAGAAATAAGTCACATTACATTACATGAGCTTCCTTGAGGACAGCATCCCCATCTCCACCAAGCTTTGAGTGCACAGGGAAGGAGGCTCTGTTGAGGAGTAAGATTTACCTTCTGGTTACATGGATGGAGAAATCCACACATGCCTCCCTTCCTTGTTAAAGTCTCCCTAATGGGGGAAATTCCTCCATATAGCACCATCAGGTGGTGGTTGTCAGAACAAATAGTTTCAGGTTGAGTGGGATGCACTGAGGGGGGCAGGATACACCTTTCAGTGATATTTACCTGTACCTTTGGGCAAATACCCTATTACTCTACAGAGTTTATGTGACAGCATCACAAAGGCAGGATGAGAGGCAGGTCAGTGATGACATGAAGATCTGTTTTTCCTTTTCCTCAAATACCCTAGATTCAGCTGGACAGTTTTATACATCATATGCCACAGACACGGACAAAATCAACTTTATGGTTACAGATTGACACATTTGATTCTGTAGCTTTTTGGAGGGATATACCCAAGATGGTGGTACTTTAGATTTGTTAATAGATATAGATTATGCCAAGTGCAACAGCAGCTGAGAAAATGGTTGTATCTGACGTGAGTTACAACCTTGTACCACTCTCCTCCTGGGATTCCCCACAATGGGAGCCGCGGCATCAAGCCAGAGACACTTCACCAGGCCAAGACTCTGACCTCTGCTGTTTTGTGGGTTATCCAAAAAGCAATTAGCCAGAGGAGTTCATATCCTCAGCTCTAGCCAAAGCGATAGATGTCAGATTCCATTTCTGCAGCAGGCTGGGAAGGCCTCAGGGGAGACATGATAGGTGTGGATGTTTCCATATTAAAATTAATAAAACCTTGGCTGGAAGTAAGTGATTTTTTTTTTTTTTAGTAAGAAATGGTAATGATTAGTCATACTCAAGAAATTCACACTAGTTTCAATTACTGCAGTTTATGAATCTCCTATACCTCTGGACAAGGACACAAAGAAGCTGAGAAGTGGTTTTTAAAGGGTTAGTTCAAGGCTCAGGGAAGTGTTCAAGGTCACTGTACATTCAGTGTTTAAATTCTCAAGAACTCTCCATTCTCAGATACAATTTGAAATGTTGACATTAACCACCATTTTGTCACACTTACCCAGTCATAATTCATCTACTACTGGCAAATCTAAAAGGTTGTAAAACACCAATGTTTGTGCTTATGTTAAATATTATTTAACATAATATTCCAAAAATTAACAGAATGCCTTGAGGTAATTCAACTGCAAAAGGGACAGGCATTTCTTTAAAAGGCAGAATACTGAAAAACAGCATTACATACCAATGTCTGTTCTTAATAAAATAAGATATTTCTTATATACTTCTGCAACTACTGTCTGGCTACAGAATATGAGAGAATCCACTGTGTGAAGACAAGGTACACCTAACTCAAAGTTCTCTCTCTGGCAGTAGTTAAAAGCCTTTTTTGTGTTCTCTTATATTAATATCTGATGCTTGTTCCTCTTAGAAGAAAGGCCTTTTCACTTCTCACTGCCTGAACTCACAATGGCACAAGAGCATATTGTGGTACAACCATCACTTCCTATGTTCCACCTGCTGACACTGTCATGGAATAAATTTTCCCTAATTCATGAAGCCAGTATAAGCAGGGACCAATGATATCTAAATCAGGCAACAGAATCAATAAAATCAGTTTTGATAATTTCAGGTTGAAACAGTACACAAATTTGTGGGATATTCACATCCATGCACAAACCTACTGTAGAATATAAACCTTTAGAGGCCCACTCTCTGTGGAGCTCTGATCCATCTAGGAACTTCTGTTAAGCAGAGAGAAACTGATACTGATGAAACAAAATATGTGTATTGTCAGGGAGATGGTGCTAGCTGCAGTAATGAAGGGTCTCTCACCTTTAGGCACTGATGGTAGATAACAGAATAGGAGGAGGACCAGTCTAGGCAGTACTCACTCTCTTCAAAAGTCTTTCCTAAAACTGGGAATTTGGAGAAAAATACTTCAATCTAGCTGATCAAACAGATTTCTGATCTGTCCCAAGTCTCCTAAAGATCATACTTTATATACAAGGATAAACCTGGGTTTTGAGGCAGCTGAGTCAAACCATAAGAATGGAATTTGGCTGCAGATTATGGACTCTTAAGTTATTGTGTCTGTAAGTGAAACTTTTACTTTTCACTCAGGAGTTCAAACTATTGTTAAGGTCAGTTTATATCTCACCAATGTGGTCAGTGGAAGGAAGGTAGGCGTGTGTTTAACTGACCCGGGATACCTTTTGTCTATTAATATTTGTCTTTGAATAACTACTCCTATCTCCTTCAAAGATCTCCCGTTCTCCAAAGACAAAAGTAAAATACTCAGTTCCAGCTACAGACTTGAGACTTTGGTCCACAAAATCAAAAGAAAATCCACTTCTTGTCATGACTGCCCTTACACAATCTACTCTGGATTCTGGTTTTCACTCATTTTGCTAAGAAAACAAGTTTTTCTTGGTGAAAGAGTCCCCCAGACTGATGGAATCAAGGAAAGACAGATCCAGCAGGCTGGTCCCCAAGCTGAAGAGTTCCCACATAGGAAATTTTGCTGATGCCTCAACAAGAAGAAAGAACAATAGGTAGCATGAGAATGATAATGTTTACATTCTCTATTAGAATGACTTAGAGCTAGCTTTCCAAGGGCTCCTCCCATGACACTTCATTAGTTAAGGTAATTTGGAAATTTGTGAGGCTGTGTGAGACTTGGGGCCATCCAAACTGCCAGACGGCTGCTGTCTGGAGAGCAGGTTGTCAGAGTAGTTCTCTAACCCAGGGCAGAACAGCTCAGTGCAAAAGCAGCATGACCATTCAAAGGCATCTGAAATCCCCTGCAGACTATTAATTCCCTGGGAAGAATGCTGATAAATTGCTTGTAGAGAGAAAGAAAATGTCTTTATGGTTTTTGAAGTGTCTACCTTCCATTAGATATGAAATGTATTCCAGATACAGGGGGGTAACAGTACTTTTGACTTTATTCATAGGGTATAGCCAAGGTCATGTGGTCTGGCTTTAGGACTAGAGGCTAGAAAATTTG